CTACTCCTTGGACTGAAAAATTCTCTGTTCTCAAGTTCCTGTAAACTGCTATTTCTGGAGGAGCTATAGAGGGACTATTAGGAAAGATTTACAGAGTTGGGCAAAACACTTCAAATGCAGTTGTTCTAGGAATACATTACTGAGAAAATCTAACATCACCTTCCTCTGAATACAAGCTTATGAAAATGCTGGTTCATCAACATGACTCTATTTTACATGATTTTTTTTTCGTAGTGGACACCATTGTAACCCTCTGAGAATCCTGGAGGACAAAATGTTATCCCGTCATCATGTGGTACTGTGCCCAGTGTTTCTGGGCAGTTGCCTAGCCTAACCTTCATCAGTGTAAGTGAGACATCAGAAGATTCAGTGGACAAGCTAGACATTTTAATGAGGGGACCACAATACTGATAATTAGATGGATAACAGTTCTTCAGGTCAAAAAACTTAATTTGGATACCACTACTCATCACAGCTACCGTTTCTTTAAGTGAACGAATCCTGTGTGCTAAGTGGCCCTGCCAGGCTCTTACTATAGGGTACTTTCAATTCTTATTACAGTTTACTGCAACATGATAGTATCATTCTACATTTTACAGAAAGGACAAATGAGCCTCAAAGAGGTTAAGCAAGTGAGGTCACAGAGAGTAAGTTCACACTTTGGATTATCCAGCTCTAAAGAATAAATCCTTTCTAAAGTGCTTCTCATTAATTAATGGATGTCAGATGAGACAGCCCCAGAACATTAGTTTCGGAAGAGATACAGAGGTTCATTTAGGAAAACCAATTTTCTTAGACACAGAGGTAGCACTGGAGGTAAAGAATCTGCCTGCCAATGCAAGAGATGCAAGATACACAGGTTCGATCCCTGGGTCAGGAAGATCCCCTGGAGTAGGAAATGGCAACCCACTCCAGTATTCTTGCCTGGAAAATTCCATGGACCAAGGAGCCTGGGGGGCTACAGTCCATGGGGTCTCAAGGAGTTGGACATGACTGAGTGAGCAACACTTTCAGAGAAACTGAGGCCTAGGAGTGTTCTTTGACCATAAGGCCAAACACAGAGAGGCAGAGATCGCAAAACCTGTGGGGGTTCAATGATGCCAACCCAGCAGAATTTTCATCAAGGCTCACCCCGGCCCATTTCTGCATAGGCAGACAGAAGTGGGAGCAGTTCCACAAGGCACCAGGGTGTTCCATGTGTTTTGGCATTTGTTCTCTTTGCCCCCAAAGCATATCTCTCTTTGCCCACTTGATAAACGCATGTTTGTTTTTTTTTTTTTCAAGAGTTAATTCAATTCAGTCCGAGTGTCACTACCTCTGCAAGGTCTTCACTGATTACCTCCCTTCTCTTCCAAGAAAAACAGGTAAAACAAATGAAGGAATAGGTTAATAGCAGTGAACTTTTATTGTGGATTTATGATTTATTCATTCACTCATTTACTCCACAAATATTTATTGAGTCTCTACTAGATGTAAGCACTGTGCTGAATGCTTTACATATACTATGCTAATCATTCCTCATCACAATCCTGTGAGTTAAGTACTATTTTTATCCTAACTTTACAAACAGAAAATCCAGGTATAGAGAGCCACAGTATCTTTTCTTTTAAAAAAGGATCTTTTCCTCTAACTCCTTTGTGGTCCTTCTCTATCTTGAATATACATTTACTATGGAATCTGCAGCTGTCCACTGAACTTTGCTTCACTTCCAAATTCTGATTAATGATGCTATAATTCTGCATATATAATGAGACAGTTGTTAGGTGTTGTATGCCACTGTAGGTCGTGAGCTCCACAATGGCAGGGGTCTTATCTACATTACTTTGTTTCCTATTATATCCACAGAGTCTGACAGAGTGGCATATAGTAGGCACTCAGGAAATGATGGTTGAATAAACAAATGAAGAATGAATGAATAAAGAACAAACACCCTCCTGGTCTCTGAGTATCTGCTGTTTTGTGCTGCCTCTCCAGACCACTCTGCTCTGGGGACAAATGCCACATAAACAGCAATGGGCACATTTTCCCCCACAAGGCCAATACTATTATCTTGCATTCTAGAACTCGCTTCTGGATACAATCATTTCCCATTTTCTTACATATTATTATGGTTATATTAACTCTACAGATCCAAATGGAGTGAAAACTTCTTTGAGAACGGACAGAAGCTGTTTTCATTCCTGCTTAGGAGGAACATAATGACAAAGTCCTTTTAGTACACAGCACCCCAAATAACAGGCGCTTGGCCAAGAGCCTCGGGAGGAACTCAAGTCGCGACCAAGGCCCTCTGTTACAGTGGCCGGAAATCACACTGCCGATTTCCGCCTAATAGAGCAGCTATCTCCAAGGGCAGGATCCCAGCTCCCAGACACTCAATAGCCCTCAGGCACATGCTGTACCACACATGGGTCCCCAGGCAACTCTCAAATGGGCACTTCCCTTCTTTCTGCCTTATCAACGAATCTAATGTTTACTGTCACTAGCCTTTATCCTTGATTTTAAAACATTTCACAGGATATCTTAAGTTAATTTAAGGGGTAAAAATAGTATCCAAAAATTCTCAAAGCAGACTTTGTTTTAATGGACACATATACACACAAACACATGTTTCTGTGATACTTTACATGGGCATATAGTACATACACACATCTATTTCAAGTATTAGATATATTTTTAGATGCATATGTAAATAGTTATATACATGAATACACACACACACACATATATATATACACACACATAGAGCATCATTTCTGAGTACCTATTGAAAGTAAAGGAAATATACTTAATACAGAGAGGAAAAATGTGGTGTAAGAACAGCTAGAAATTTCTAGGAGCAAAAAGAATAACATAGAACTTTAATTTTTATGTGTGTATATGCATATGCATGTATATATGTAATTATATACACATGAAAATATGTTAATACATACAAGTAGTTAGGCATTATATAGATATTTAAATAAATACTTTAAAATCTATGTACGTGTGCATATACAGACACATTAAAAAATACTCAACATAATATATTTGAACAGGCATGGGATTGGAATGAAGAGAGACTGATCAATCTGATGTAGTACATTTTTAGGACTCAGATAGTAAAAGGGTAGAAGAAACAGGTAATAGAAGAGTGTTATGACATTGAAGACCCTAAAAGATATGCTACTGGTTCTTCATTATTTGGGGATAACTCCTTTTAGCAATTGATAAAGTACATGTGAATAAGAGAAAAAAATGTATAGAAACGTGTGTGCAAAGAATAATGGGAGACAGTGGCTGTCTCACTTTATTGCCTTCTCATATGCCACTGGATCTTTAACTATCATTGCAGAGTCTATTTCAATCTTTAAAGCACTAAATGACTATAAATTTAAGCAAGTAGGAGGCTGACTTTGTTAAAAACCAGAGAAGGGAAAAGTTTCCCTTGGTTGATGAAAAATGTACCAAGATTTTCAGAGCACAGTTATTATACTATTAGAGATTTTGCTTTGAGAAATTATGAAAAGTTTATAACATCTTGGATAAAAGAATTATAACAGTAAAGTATGTTTGCACATACTGCTCTGTGCAAAATCCATAAGCTAGATGCATTTGTCTTCTCTGCCTATGTAAGCCTAACACAGAGACTCAAACCTAATCAATTAAGAGATACAGGTTAAAGACATATAAACACATGTATCGGAAAAGAATATATAGAGACTTCATAACTGTCAAGGCTGTGTACTCAGTTTGGAATTCACGTCAACTTAAAAAAAAAAAAAAGTTTCCAAACATCGAGCTCTATTTCAAGCTGAACTAGTTTAATTCTAAAATGACAATATATGCTTGATTTAAACCCAGATGCTGAAATGCATGATGTTAATGCATTACAAAAAGCTATATACACAACCATGTATATGTAACTACAGCTTTAAGATTTAGTGATATATTCTTACAAGTACTTTAAAAAATAATATTAAAATTGGAATATTCTCTACACCTCTCAGACCACAACATTTTACTCATGATCCATATCCACTTCTTAATTATGCTAAAATCATTTCAAAATCAAGAAAGCATTTTTCTTCAAACACAGCTTTTCTCTTTTCAATGAATATTTACAAATGGAATTCTATATTTATGGCAATGATTACAGGTGCATTTTATTTATATTTTATAGTATTTACAGGAAGTTGTTTTCCCTCTTCTGGATGGAGGCAGGAAAAAAAAAAATGAGCTAATCTCACTTCTGGTAAAATGCTAGTAGTTTGGGGCAAGAATAAGCTAGGAATCAAATTAAAGGATTCTGCACATCTGCTTCAGAAATATGTTACAGGGGAATATGAGTTGTGCTTTTTAATATAAATCACCTTATTGCTTCTATGAATAAAAGAAATGTTTCATTATTTTATTCTGAGTGTAATCACCCTCTAGTTTGCTTCCAGTTCTAATCCTTTTGTTTATAAAATAAATTTATTAAGTACAAACACATTTTCTTCTCCATTACTGAAAAGGTATACAGCATTATCAGAGTAAAACTAGAATAGCATACCTCAAATCACCACATCCCATAGCTAAAGAAATAAATGTTCTTTTGTATTTAAAGAGATGGAAAGTATCTGATTAAAGTTCATTTTCTCTTCCTTCCTTAAAAACAAAACACAAACCTCGGCTAGACAGAATAGAAAAAGTTAACAGTGATTAGCAGTGAAAGTGTGGCTAAAAGACTATGACCAGAATAGTAAAACCATCTGAGGACTAGAGAAGTTGAACTCGGGAGAAGTCACTTAAAGAAACTGAATGGGACAACCCTTGCCTTTCCCAGGCCGCCCAGAGGTGTGAGCCCACAGACACCTCTGAAAACGACAGGATTTCTTGGCCTACCGTTTACCACACCAGCGTACCCTCGAGTCAACAGCGAAGACTCGGCCAAGTTTCCAAACCATGCTCACCATCCCCAACTTGCTCTCAGTTTCTCCCGACCCACCGTCAAGGCAAAGTCACGGGGAAAGGCTCACCTGTGCGGGGCTGATCCAGCCGTGCGGGCACGCACAGCGCTCCCCGCAAGCCCCTCTGCCCTTGGTGCTCGTCTTGCGGGGGCTTTTCCGCACACTGTCCCACAGGGTGACCAGCCTGGTCCTGCTGGAAGCCGGGCCCCCAGCTCCCGAGGGGGGCATGGTTTGGGAGGTGTACCCGAGCCCCTGAGAACTCCTCTGCCAGCCACACGCGCAGGGGGCATCTCTGATCAGTGTGGGCGCGCTCCTCCCCGCATCCGTGCCACCGGAGCCCCGGGGGCAGCTGCGCTGCCTGGTGAGGTGTGCGTTCATACTGCAAGGCTGCCTACCCTCGCCTCTGGGCAGCTCTGCACGGGGATGCCTCCTAGCTCACACCCCCTTTCTTCCAGGCAGTTGTAAAAAGTCTTTTTTTTTTTTCCCCTCCCCCTTGCGTGGATCCCTCAGTATCTCTGACAGCTGCTATGAGCAGGGCATCGTGGGAGCGGTGGCAGCCGCCGGAGCAGCTCCGCACAGCGGTATCTGCGGGCTGGTAGCTCTTTGTCAATAGATGACTCAACTCAGAGCAACTTGACAGTATCCCTGCTCCAGGCAGAAGCAATCAATGCTCCACACAGCTGGGCTACAAGACTGTACACTGTGCTACGGACCTTGTTTGGATGCAGCCCCGCAGGGAAGAGGCTCCCCGCGATGTGGCATGCTGGCCTGTCCCTCTCCCGGCTGATTCCCCCACACAAAACCCAGACCTCAGGAAAGAGAGCTTCTCATCAGACCAGCAGGACCCTTCTTTCCAGAGAGGATGTATCTAGGCTGAGACAATATAGCATAAGCAGTGTCAGATGATGGGAAAGTTAACCTGTGAGAGAATGCCCAACGTTTACAGGAATCACTTATTCACAGAGAGATTTGCCAGGACCCAGGCCGAAATCCTGAGGTAACTCAACACTGATTCATTCAGAAAAATCACGGAGATCACAGCATTTTGCCAGAGTCCTTTAAAATTCGGAAGTGTGTCTTAGAACAGGATTATATATTGCAATCCAAACATAGATTCTTTGCACCATGAGCAATTATTAATCCTTTCTGATTCAAAATAAAGCAGTTTTCAAAGTTCAAAACTGAGGGGTTGGCTGATTCTAACACAGTGTTTTTCTTTACCCCAAATTATTCTGAGGATTTCCTTTCAAATACTTTACCACAACAAATATATTCACCACAGAGAGAGCCTGCATTTTAAAGTGAAAGACACATCCAATTCTGCCATCCAGTATTTTGGTTTCCAAAGACAGAATTTTCAAATTCTTTCACTGAAACATGAGTGAAATCTATCCAATTTAAAGCAATTGCCTTCCAAAGAGGACAAGATTGTTTTAAAATTTTAGTATGATTTCAGAAGCCATATGTAGTATTTTCAGGAAAGTGAAAGGCTAATTACTACAGCACTTAGAGTTTTTATTTCGTTTGAAACTTTCCATATCTATTGCCAAAACGTCTAGTCCTTATCACATATTCCTAAGAAAATAATTTTGGCTTAATTCAGAAGCAAACTGCCATTTATGCAACACCAAACAAAGATGATATAATCCCAGAATATAATTCTTATTTATAGAGCATCAGATGCCATCAGATCCACCTTTCTCGTGAATTGACTAGGTGCTGGGGCAGTGTAAGCCTCCTTTCTGACTAAATTGACAAGATTCTTGTTTCTAGAGTCATAATTACAATAAATTCTACATTTCAACACTAGGACTCCCTGGAGCAATCATTGTTGTTAATAAAAATCCTAAAAGAAGAGCAATGTTTCCTCTTTTTGTGTAGCTGCCCCAAAGAGACCTTTCCCAAATTCTGTACAAGGGGTAGATATAAGTACTCTGCCTGACACAGTAAGCATTCAAAACACCTTTGATAATTAGTAATGACTCATATGTGTAAGTTCAAAGGACAGGTCTGGGTCTCCATTCAAAATATTGACTTTTTTTTTTTCCCAAGCACCTAGTACACTGCCTGCTCAGTACATAGCAGCCTTATGATAAATACACTTCTGGATGGATGAACAGAAGGAAAGAATAGAGGGATGAAGAAGGTGACTAACAGTTTTATAGGAGACTAACAGAAAATAATATTTGATTCAGGGCTTCCCTGGTGATCCAGTAGTTAAGAATCTGCTTTGCAATGCTGGGACACCAGGAAGATCCCACATGTCATGGAGCAACTACGCCCATGTGCTACAACCCACCCCAGTCCACATGCAACTACTGAAGCCCTTGCTGCTGGAACCCATGCTTTACAATAGGAGAAGTCACATAATGAGAAGCCTGCACACTGCAGCAAAGAGTAGCTCCCACTCACCGTATCTAGAGAAAGCCCCCACACAGCGATGAAGACCCAACACAACCAAGAATAAAAAAAAAAAAAAGCTTTAAAAAAGATTTGATTCACCAATGCTTCAGAAACAAACTATTTTTTAAGGTTAACTTTCATGTTGACTTTGAAATATTAAGGAAATCTGTCACAAAAACATAAAGACTTGAACTGTTGGGTAGATACAACAATGGCATTAATGGTATTTCTTTCCAAAAGAGAAATAAAGATTCAATCTCAACACCTACAAACAGCAGAACTGCGGCAAACAGATCATCATTTGACACTCAGTGAGAAAAGGGGCAGAAAATTATCTCGGTTTTTTCTCTTCCTCTTCTTTCCTCACTCTCTCATCCCTCGCCCATTTTTTAATTTCTTTTTTAATACCGAATCAAGGAATACTGGCTGAATGAACTTCTGGGTTAAATAAGGCCCTAGAGACCTTCATATTTATCTGGTGTCACCGTGACACACGGCTGTATAGTAGGACTCGATGTGAGATGGCAATACCATCACCCCAGCAAATGAGAGTGTCAGGAAGTGATAAGTTTGGCTCTCTCCAATCTTATCTAACCACAGATGCTTCTCCAGTTTTTCAGGAAGGTTTCATTGCTCAAAGGCCCATCACATCTTCAGCGAGTACATGTCCTGTTCTCATCTATTTGCCTCTCAAGTACAAAAATCAGTGTGAATCTATTGTAATTTTGTAATTGCACGTGCAGCTTGCAGCAAGACAGAACATTTCTTGGCAAAGATATTATAAATCTTCATAGGGACCTAAATCTGTTATGAATGAGTTCTTTGGAATAAGCTATTTCTTCCCATCACAAGGACAGTAGAATTTCTGTTTTAATAACCTCCGCATGTCATGTCTATACAGAAAAATAAATATTATATATTGCATAACTAATGTTACTTTCCTCCAAAGATCTTAAAGACTATAGCAAACTTGTATTAAACATATTATAAGACTATTGATATTATACTTTCCCTTTAAACATATAAAATAATTCTAACCTCCTGTCTCCCTTCCCCCATTTTTTTTTCTCTTCAAAAATGACATTTGGCTTTCCAAGTCTGAGGACAGACCACTTAAATAGATAAATATGTCCAACTAGTCCACTGTATATGAGACAGACCTACTAATTAAAGATAATTCAATTTGGTCAACTGTAATTGGTCAACTGTAATGACCATAAGATGACATGAAAGTCTGGCAAAATAAGAATTAGCAGCGTTCAAGTCTACATCCTACTTATCACTGTGATTTAACATGGGCAGATGGTGTACAGGGCAATGCCTAGATGAGATATATCTTACTGACCTCTCTTTGACCTCGCACTGACTCTATAGAACAACCATTAGCAGGGTTTTTTTTTTTGCTTACTTTTTTTTTTTTGAATGGAAGATTCTTTAAATTCTATAGTGCTTTAACATTTTCAAGTTTTACACACATGATTTCATATAATCCCATTTTAAAGCAGGGGCTCAAAACTAAAATCCTGGCTTGATTTTTTAATAAAACATAAATAGCAAAGATGAATTGCTAAATAAATTGTGCTGCATTAAAACAGTATGCAGATTTCTTCCAGATAAAACTTCCTTTAGGCACTCTATGTGTATGAAAAATGAAAATATTAATTACAAAAGAAGAACTAAGTGCTTGCTAAAGGGAGGCTGGTTAGCAGAAAAGCCCTTTAGCAGCTACAAGTCATGTGCTAAATAATCACAAAATGGTATGAAGTATTAGAATGCAATTTCTCTTGATTTGCAAAGTGTATACAGTGAATTTCTGTCACTGCAAAAAACATAGATGCCACAAGTGCAAATGAATTAATCATTCTTCTACACCTAATAACCTTAAGCCCAGGCAATCTTCAGAACTAAGCACAATTACCTTTCAAAATAAGATAACCAAGAATATTTAAAGTACTTTAGATTCTAAAATTATTTACAAATTACTTATACTAATTTAATCATAAATCTCATGAGGCAAAAGCAAGCATGAATTAATAGTGTGGGATACATCCCTATTGCTTTAGAGACTTAATTGGACAGAGGATTCAATAGGAGGTAGAAAAAAATTTCAAAAGGTCCCAAATTCTCACTAATATACTTGGATTTGGGTGGATGTTAGTGGGGAGGGGATTAATCTGAATTGAAAAGGTCAAGCTGTCAAATGGTTTTCAGGAAATGCACATTTATTCTACTGTAACAGATTTTGCAACACTATTAGAGAAACAGGAAAACAGGTTACATGACATTTCTTAGAGAATCTGAAATGAATACTGATAAGAAGGTGATAATCACTTATAATGTACATATTTTAACAATTTAACCTAAGTGATGAACCACAGTATCACAAAAATTTTGTTCTCATCCTTCAAGATTAAACTAATATCACTTGTCCTGTTGTGCTTTCCAGACCCACCTGGCATATTCAGCTACACACTATAGTACTGTCTGTATAAGTATCTTCCACTTTTATCTATTTCCCTCAGTCGCCATGAGGACCATCTTAGTCTAAGCTACCATCACTTCTCTGTAAAACTGGTTACAAAGCAGCTTTGTAACTGGCTGCTGGCAGCTGCCTTACGCCAATTAACGCTCATGCAGTGGCCAGAGCCACTTTTTCTAAAGTGAGAACCTGATTAGGTTTTTTGTTGTTTAGTTGCTAAGTTGTGTCTGACTCTTTGCCACCCCAAGGACTGCAGCATTCCAGACTTCCTTGTTCTTCACCATCTCCCAGAATTTGCTCAGGTTCATGTCCATTGATTGGAGAAGGAAATGGCAACCCACTCCAGTGTTCTTGCCTGGAGGGAAGAACGGACGGAGCCTGGTGGGCTGCCATCTATGGGGTCCCACAGAGTCGGACACGACTGAAGTGACTTAGCAGCAGCAGCAGCAGCAGCAGCATGTCCACTGAGTCGGTGTTGCCATCCAACCATCTCATT